TAACTTGACAGAGTGTATGTATTACAACATCAGTTGGCTGAAAGTCAGTGTACGGTGGGACAATGCAGGGTACGCAGTAGCTCTAGAACTATATAGCCCTCCGCTCCGCCGCAGGGCTATAGAACATACTATGGCAATTTCCAGGGGGTAAGCAAAGACAACTTTTTTGCGGTTAATAACTTCTTCGGTATGCCAAATAAAGCACATTCTCTGCCGCACAAATGTCTTAAGTTACTACAAACACAAAAAATTAAACTGCAAACTAACGCTTAAATGTTGTACTTGCTATATTACTCGTCGACGAAGATTGTTTACCAACTTGTAACCGCCATTATTCTCTAGTGAGCGGGCACAATGTATTTCCAAGTGGAGGGGTGGGCAGGTTGCACGTGGTTGCAAACCGCGCTAGCGCTGCGCAACAAAAAATGGCGGTTTGCAACCGCATGCAACCTGCCCACCCCTCCACTTGGAAATACATTGTGCCCGCTCACTAGCGCCACTAGCGAAAAATGGCGGTTACAAGTTGGTAAACAATCTTCGTCGATGAGTAATATAGCAAGTACAACATTTAAGCGTTAGTTTGCGGTTTAATTTTAGTGTTTGTAGTAACTTAAGACATTTGTGCGGCAGAGAATGTGCTTTATTTGGCATACCGAAGAAGTTATTAACCGCAAAAAATGTGTCTTTGCTTACTCCCTGGAAATTGCCATAGTATGTTCTATAGCCCTGCGGCGGAGCGGAGGGCTATAGTTCTAAAGCTACCATTGAGGCATTAATTCATAATAAATCTGAGTACTAACAAATTTGTCAATAGAGATAGTTCAATACACAAACACCACGGTACAACTACGGCATGGGTGGGATAGTGCTGCACATCTGAAGATGCACACAACCTGCCTTATTTGGCGACCTCCACCACATTGACATTTACTGATTTAGTTCTAGTACTGCAGATAAGGTCTATGTCTCCCTGACCTCTGTTTGACCTGGCTCGTTTAGCTATTTCTGACTAATATATATATATAATATATATAGGGTTAGGGTTAGTCAGTTATTATCGTTTATTAGGTAGATTGTGTGCGTGGTGAAACACTTATCCATGGTTGTTGTAGTAAATACTATAGCCGAATTTACTGAGGCAGTGCAGCCCGACCTGGCTGTACGACTGTTTTACGTCCATATAGTTAGAAACGAGTAGGTAACTTGTGGCTATGACTGTGGCTGCCCATGGTAAGGCTGTTACTGTTATTCCAACCGTTATGCAGTAAATGATATATATATATATATACTAACTACAGCTAAGGCTGTTTGGACAGGGCTATATTCCTGTTATTTTTGATACATTGAGCATCCAATAGGCAGCTATGTTGCCTGTCTATTACAGGATTATGCTATCCTAGCTATATTATTGCATCTAAAGCAGTGAAAGTGCTCAGGAATACATTAGAAATTGGGTCTTCCCTGGTATTGAATTATATATCTAGACAGCTGTGTTCAATGTAAGATTTGTTACCGGTGAGCTTTTATGCACTTACCTATTTAAATTGACTATGTCACGAATTTTCTATGGTAAAATTTGTAAAATCTTTGTTGCCATTTTTTTACATTAAAAGTAAGAACCAAGGGACTAAACGTATCGTCAAATTCTTACCTGATAAGATTGTTTCTCAACTAGTTAAAAATCCGAAAAACCTGGACGATTTGATATTGTGTTCCTGACATTAATTGCTTGCTATGGGCTATGTATAGGTCACGAGTGTATGTTCACATCGAACAATATAGTAAAATAAGAAGTATAATGCAGCAATTTAACCATAAAAAGTGAACAGAATTACTTATATTAATTTTTTAGTATTTACGGTGATGTAATCACTTTAAGTATTATACCTTATAAGTTATACCAGAATATTTAGGGCACTGGTGTAAATATTTTGTTCAAAGGAGGGAGAACTGTGGCAACTTGATTTCATCAACACTTGCTACGTGTGACAGGCATTGATACATACATTTAAGGTGAAATGTATTGAAAGGTTAAAGGTTATAGAGGCAAACTAATTTGGGCAATTGCAGCAATTAAAGTGAGGTTAGAATGCCTTATAGTTGGCATAACACTGCATGTACCTAGCACATGATTACCTGTCACAATACTGGGCATAACCATATGAATACAATATGACAAATTATTACTAGACGATCGGCAGCCCGGATATCGCGCGAAGCGCGAAAAACGCCGCGTAGCGGCACACTAACACAACTACGCTGCACTGATTGAATAGCAACTTCAACGGGTCCACTATAGACGCAAGAGCGGCGCAATCGCTGAATTGAGCAGTTCTGGCCATTGCACGACGGGTTTGACTACCCAGGTAGCTAGACATTTCCTAGAAATGCTCGTAATTTTTCGTTTGCTACTCGGCGCGCTTTGTTTGCTGTAAAAAACGCAGCTCAACTTTGTTGTTTGTTTGTTTTTGTTGATCAGTGTAGTACATATGGCGTGCGATAGATGGCGCAACGAGGCTATATGCATAGCTAGACTGGTACCCGTTCGCCACCTTCACTCCGGCATATATCCTTCGCTACACTACGTCGTAGTGTAGCGTGTCGAACTGTCCACCGGGTACCAGTCTATATGCATATATAGCCTCGTATCCTGCAGCTCGGCCGGCTATAACCGGCTATAACCGGCCTAACGGCTAGACTCGTACCCCGTCGACAGTTGCACACGCTACACTAACTAACTTCAGTGTAGCGAAGGATACTTGCCCGAGTGAAGGTGGCGAACGGGTACCAGTCTAGCTATAACCCCCCAAACTGCATCCAACGCCCGTTCGCGATTATTTTTTGCGTTAATGCGTCAGCGCTCGCTATGTGTATTGGGAATGCTTGCGTCACAGGTCAACAGAGATGGTGGTGTCCCCATAAACACTCTTTACTCCACTACGCAACAAATTGTGTTTACACAGGTCTTCTAACCCTAGCAAAGACTGTTTCTTGGAACTAGTAGTTGTACTAGCTCTAGTACTATACTATATAGTATTAGTACTAGTAGTAGTAGCTCTAGTACTATAGTAGTAACTAGTAGTAGGAGTACTAGTAGTAGTAGCTCTAGTACTATAGTAGTAACTAGTAGTAGGAGTACTAGTAGTCTAGCAGTACTACTAGTAGTAGTAGTAGTAGTAACTAGTACTATTAGTAGTAGTAGTAGTAGTAGTGCTAGTACTTAGTAGTGTGTATACAATTGTATGATCCTCAGGGATAGCTCCAAGAAACGGTATTGCTAGGGTTAGAATACCCCTATACTAGACAACCCCTGCTTATATAGCAAGCAATTTACTCTAGCTAGTTCCTGATACTGACAATGACAATGGCAGTGGGAGATTGTAGTCGTAGGGGTGCATTAGTACGAGCCGACGCAGACCCCAGTAATGGGGGTGATGATAAACCTGCACTCTCACATTAGCAAAGCACAGTTATAACGTCTGCATTTCCGGACTAGGGGTGCATATGATATAAGGCAAGGTCACATAGTTGATAGAGCTGCCACATAATGTATTAATTGTTTATATATACAAAAAGAAGCTCTCAGCAAATGATTAGATACTATATATAATGCTAATGAAGTAAGCTGTATTCAAATGCTGCACTTTCGCCTTACTGCTGTCATCGAAAATCGAAAATCAAAATACTAACTCGTTCATACACTCGGGATACCACTGCCACAATGCTAGCACTATTTTTAAAGTGGGCGGAGCTCCGGGGAAATGCAGCGAATGGCGATTCTTAAACAGCGTATGATTTGAAAGAGGTAACTAACTGGGCGCACAATCCGCGTACTATTTCGTATCACTATATTATCAAATTTTCCATTAAATAATGGTCCGATTTTTATTATGTTTGGAACTTATAGTGAAAACGCCTAACACCACACGGAAATGGAACCACAGCGAAATCAAAAGCTTTGCTCTCGCCCCCCCCCCATCTGTACGACCCCCATCTAAGTCGCGAGTTCCTCCCACGTCCCAAATGTCTGCCCTCTGTGTCCCCCGCTAAAATTCCGGACTGTTCGCTGGCAGCTATGGATCTGTGCGCCGGCCTATGCATTCGGCGCACGGATCCATAGCTGCCAGCTCTGCATACTGTCGTAGGACGTTCCCGCGTGCGCCTTGCCGCAGAACTGCGCGCAAGATCCGCGCTCAGCGGTTAGGATTAACACCTCCTTTCGGCAACACTTCTCTGGTATCCCGTCTCATCTGGTTTAAACAGCTCAGATTAGGTGGTATGTTTATATATATACACACACATCATATATAACTCATATGCTCTATGAGAGGTGGCACTAGTAGACAGTGTTCAACTTCAAATGTTCTTATTTAAAAATTCACTATTGCCTTTTAATCTTATTGCCCAATTATTATGTTTTTCTACATCAGTGATTTAAGTTAATTTGCTACAATTGATAACGTTTATGTAAATGTGGATTTTCAAAAGGATGTGCACGTCTTGTGAATGGACTAAACAAAAGAAAACAAGAGAGTGCTTTAAAACTTACGAGAGGAGCCATTCAGATAGAGATTCTGTATTTAAAATGGTAAATAACAATAGCATCTTGACAAGCGTAAGCTTGTTATTTTTCTATCAAAATAGTGTTCATACCCATTTTACATAAACAGCTATATGTTTTTCTTTATTTTAGGATTTCAAGAAATATCAAGCTGACCATCATTTGACATTGACAACTGTCAAGCAAAAGATAGCATCGACTGAGTAAGTACAGGGCATGAAATTCAGTTTTTTTGCACCGGCCCAGAGGGCTGGTAACAGCAGTTTTTGACCAGCCCTCACCTTAATTTGCCAACCCTCACAAATTTTTCATTTTTTTTCAAAAATAAAGATAAGACTGTTTCACTGAATCTTCCTTGTCCAGAAAATGTTGTCGTGTGCGGCTGTTGAACAGACTATAATGCAGATCGTGAATGATGTCCGAAGTGGTTTTGCCGATGTCATGTTTCACGCGTGCATTCTCGATTCCAAATGTGTAAAATGTTGATAAATTATGGCGTGATATCCTTCAGGTAAAACAGCATTGTAGGCTATTTTCTCGTTAATGCTATAAATAAAAATGTATGTACTCGCTAACACGGAGGGCCGGTGTTTTGCCAATGTTACTGGCCCTCCAAATAATTTGCCGGCATATGCCGGTGGGCCGGTGCTAATTTTGCACCCTGAAGTATATAATTATTTAAATATATTGTACAAGGTTTGGTGTACAATGTATGTACATGTATTTAACAGTTCTAAACAACAACACACATAACTGTAAAAGTTCCAGTTTGCAGGGAATCAGTTCAGTTATAAAGGAATAATACTATTTATTACAGTTATCACGAATATATAATTTTCAGAAATTATTCATTTAATGGTTATTTATGTTTACTATTTTTCAGCCTGCTACTCAGGAAGTTTAGTGGAAAATGTGCAGATATCCTTTTTTAGTTGTAAATGACATTTCTTTACTAAAATTATGTTTGAATGAATGTCTGCCAATAGGTGTCACTACTGGGTTATCTGGGAGCATTTAGAATTGGATGTGACAGTTTTAATCTAAAACTGTCTAATTCTAATTATCTCCAGTTGAAATAATGTGAGCATAGTATACGGGGCAAGATTCAAAGTAAATATATCTAGCGAGGGTGTGAAATTTCGTATAATAGGAGATATTTTAATAGCCTGACAAAATATTGCAAGTTATATGCTATTGTAAATTCTACTAGTTATCCTTTGTCACTTATAAGTTATGTCATGTAAAATCTGAGAAAGTTGGCAGCTCAGTTTCCAGTCAGCATATTAGATAGCTGATCAAAAATCAATGAAACTCCCGCACAGCACACATGCATGCAAAAATGCGTACACGCATACATGAAGTGAAAGCGGCGAGTGAGTAGGGGAAGGGTGAAATAATTTTACACCAGGTCAATTATATAAAGAGCTATATATAGGTTTCTAGAGCATAAAATTACTAATGACTTTTTTGCATTTCATTTCGTTCAAGAATCTTTTTAAATAATGTTATTGTAGTAGTGGCATTATAAGTTTTAAACTTGGATTTATTTGTGGCTTTATAAATCATTCTTTTGTTGGCACTATATCTATGAAAAATGGGTAATCTTGAATATGTGTGCCCAAATTTGCTTAATTGAAGCAGGGTAAGTTTTTAAAATGCGATTTTTTTCTTATTTTGCTACGTTGAAAAACTATGCAGTGCCTATATACAGAGCAATGCTAATGTATTTTGATTATCCTTGCATGTTACTATCTCTACCATGGTTGCACCCCTAGCAGCATGCTTCTAATATTAAAAGCAAGATGGTGTGCACTCTTAAGTTCATTAAATCTGGTATGTCAGATGCGTGCATCAGCGCAGGTAGACATGCATATCTAATCAAGTTATTGCCGTGATGTGCTGTGACCCAGATCTGCATTCTTTTAAAACATTTGCCGACGGTAGCTAAAATTAAATTTGTTAAATGATCATCTGCTGAACTGATGTGTTATTGATATTTCCCAACAGATGTCTCTGCTGTATCAGTAGGTTTTGCTGTTAGTCATAATCATTACCAATGAAGCAAGTAAGAAAGTTTATAATTGCAAAAAATCAAAACAGTTCTCTCATGGAAAGATACTAACTGATGAAATGTTCTAAGATCAGTGTATTTAAAAGAACATTTTGAGGAGAATTATCATGCAAATGAGCAAGAGTGGTAGGCCTATTGTGCAAAAATGAAGCAGAAATGAACCACTATTTAAAACTTGAAACCACTGAATCTTTACGTGAACTGAAGAGGAACACGAGGGTGGACAGGCTTAGAAGGCAGGAGGGCAAACGAGTGGAAGGGAAGAAGAGCATTTTTAGGATTTCTTTTTATTTATTACTATAAAGCAGTTACCCTTTGAGGTGGTGGGGTGGGGGGGGGGTAGAGCCCTCCCTAAAAAATGCATATAAGCACAAAATTTTGCATGTGTCTCGTTCATGGACCCCCTGAAGCCCATCAAAAGGGGTCCGTGGACCACAGGTTAAGAACCCCTGCTATAAAGTAATATGCTATATTTATTCTATTTTATTTATTCATTTATTAATTTCTCTTTTACTTATAACCTCAAGTTACATGAGTTGAACTTCATTAAATGTTTAACAAACCTTTCTTGTGAATTTAACTTATTTCAATCGCTATATAATTAAATTATAAGCATGGTTTCCTTAAGTCCTGCCTTACATTTTGATGCGCAAGCAAGGAAGTTAGAAGAAATTAGCACCACTTTGGAGCGAGTTCAAAGGTAAGTTCACAATATCATTTTAGATGTTGAAAGTATTAACAAATTATGCGCAAATATGGCGTAATATTCAACCTTTGTTCCAACTATTTTTATTCATGTTCTATGTCATCCTGAATAATGAGACGACTATTAATACACTGGAACAATAAGGTGGTTCCCTCATTGAATTTGGCCATCCGATTCTTTTCCATAATGAGGCAGTTGTGAATTTGATCAGGGAAGTTGGACTGGCGATGAAATTACCATGTGTGCACCCACATATATAGTGACATCTTATAGTGAACAATAGTTTGCCTTGTTCTTAGTTGAAAATGAGAATTGTAAATTATATTTTTTATGTGTGGGAAGTTGTGTTTTTTATATGGACGCTCGTGCACATATTTATAAATGATGGTTGCTAATTAAGCTATTAAAAAATCGTTGTTTGCCCTCAACCGACCCAGGCTGAAAGTTTGGGTAGGTGGGTAGGCTTCTTTTGAGGTTTTTTTTTTTTACAAATTTAGCATGGTGTCTACATGCTCCGGTGTGCTTGTGTGGAGATACCTTTTATGTTGCATGTTTGTTTTGCTTGGTACATATAATTAGGAGTCTATCAATAATTATTGATAGCCTACAGATTTATATAATGTACAGTGATACCATTTGTAAAAAGAAAGAATGGGAAAGATCAATAATTTTTTTTGGAGTGGGCCCCTTTTTATTGGGTCAGTCGGGTGAGGGCAAACAAACAATATTTTTTATTATGGCCCCAGTGGTCTGATGTATACAACTCCCAGTATCAAGTCTTAGTGATACCCATAAGCTGTATTGTAAACGTAACGGGAATGCAGGCAAGAATTTCATCCAATCATAAAAATTTTATTGTTAAAGTTTTGGGCAAATAGTGTGGTACAGTCTCAAGGTATTTGTACAACTGTTGTACGGATTAGGTTCATGCACGCATATATGTACCTACGTTTGCACGCAGACGGGCACGCACAGCATGTCATTTCATGTTCGTAGGCAGTATGTATGTACACAGCACGCACGCACGCACGCACGCGCGCAGGCATGCACGCACACGCACTGCATGTCCAATAATTTACAAGTCGCCTACACGAGTTCAGGTTAACTATGTGAACGCGAGTAACACGAAGAGTGTGCTCGTAGGCAATGTGTGATGAATATCATGTAACGTAATACTAATACGTCCGTAATGCGACGTACAGTTAATTTGGATGAAATCTCGTTTCCAATACGTAGATTTAAGACTCATTTCGTGCGCTGAATCTTTCACGTTTGTCTTCGATCAACTTTGCAGCATCCGTACATTTTCAATGGCACAATTATATCAAGGTTTATTAAAATTGCATTGCGATATCTATATATAATAATTAGGTCCAATCCCTGTATAGACAATGTTGATTATAGTGTAAGTATGGGTGAAACTATTTATGTCTTATAATTAGATTAGATTACTGAGTGATAATTTTAAGCTGTTGTAGAATAGTCGTGAAGTCCTGCACGAAATATTAGGTGATAGATCAGTTGGAACCATGTGTTGTGATAGCTCAGGACGTCGATACAGCTTGCATGCTGCAGCAGATGTATGATATAAATTGTCAACTAATTCACTGACTCTTGACAATCTTTTGCTGCAATTAGCAGTGTGAGGTTAATCCGTTTAGCAAATTGGTTATTTGTACCACGTGCTACACCCTATGGATTGCTTAGATTTGCTGTAATTTTTAATTCTGCTCTTGAAATACTAAATTGAAATGTACCAAGCCGTATGTCAAATGTAGATTTCACAAATGTTTGCTACTGGGTGGCAGTCACGTGGTTATAACACTGAACAGTATTTTACAGAAAAACTGACAGCAATGACAGTTTAGTGAGTCTATGCATGTTTGTCGGCTGGCAGGAACTATGAAATACGTGAAAAAAGTAAAGTGGCTACGTATGTCTACACACTGGTGAATAGTAGGGCTATAGATTAAGGGCTTAATGTCCTTTTTCATTTACCCAGCTGTGGATTTTCAGCGGCAGACGTCCTGAAAGCTATTTCGGTGGATCCACATCTTGTGGTCTTGGTCCATGTCTTCTTGGCTCCAATATGTGCATGCGGAACGATTGGCAGTGACCCCAACTCAACAAGTTACTTAGCTGCGTCCCGCGTGCATAGCTTGAGTTCATAACGCCCTCTTTTGCAACGCGTAAGCATGCAAGCACCTACTTCACATTTCACTGCGTGAGATGTCATTTTCTCTACGCATTGCATTAGTACGTACGATGTGCATTACGAAAATCTCGTGTTCCTCTGTGCATTGCATTAGTACGTACGATGTGCATTGCGTAAGTCTCGTGTTACTCTGTGAATTGGCATTAGTACGTACGATGTGTATCATTGCGTACATCTCGTGTTCCTCTGTGAATTGGCATTAGTACGTACGATGTGTATCATTGCGTACATCTCGTGTTCCTCTGTGAATTGGCATTAGTACGTACGATGTGTATCATTGCGTACATCTCGTGTTCCTCTGTGAATTGGCATTAGTACGTACGATGCGTATCATTGCGTACCGTGTTCCTCTGTGCATTGCATTAGTACGTACGGTGTGTATCATTGCGTACATCTCGTGTTCCTTTGTGCATTGCATTAGTACGTACGATGTGTATCATTGCGTAAGTCTCGTGTTACTCTGTACATTGTTTGCGTTCTGTGTTCGTCTGCGTATTGTATGAGTTTCTACTCGCGCAACATTGCGTGGGTATCTCCTCCCTTCCTGTGTCGCATCAGTTCCTATGACAGGGGTAGAAATAAGGAGAAAAACGAGATGGTCCATGGCTCAGACCATCTAATTTGAAATTAGATGGTCCTCCATAAATTTCAAATTGTTCTCTAAAAGTAATGGCGGCGTGGCAAGCATAAGAAAGATTTTACATGTTTGATAAAATGGTTTAATTACTCACCTATACATTATAATGAATGTATCAAACGATACAGTAATTGTTTATTCACTTTAATAGTATATTGGAACGTGGAAACTTCAAAGAAAATTACCGTAAAATGGCACCAAAATATTCAATGGGTCCGTCGAATTTGAAATCTGATGGTCCTGGGCCTCCTGATTATTTGATGGCCGCCGGACCATCGACCATCTGCGCTTATTTCGACCCCTGCAGTATTGGAGGTTTCGGATGTTGTATAAGCACCTCCCTCTCGTCTGTGTATTGCGCGTGTTGATACTTTCTCTGTCAGGTCGTGTGCGTTACGTTAGTGCCAACTCTCTCTATATCGCATAAGCTTTACGTTTCTCTCTCTCTCTCTCTCTCCCCTCTCCGTCGACTCGTCCTCTCGTCTCTCTCTCTCTCTCTCTTCTTCCCTCTATCTTCATCTCTTGCCGCTCTGCTCATTTCTTTCTCATCTTCCTCTCTTCTCTCTTCTCTTCTTTCTCTTTCTCTCCGTCCTCTCTCCACTCTCCCACTTTCTGCTCTCGTCTCTCTTTCTGTCCTCTTCTCCTCTCTCTGTTCTCCATCTCTCAATCTCTCTCGTTCTCATCTCTCTCTCTTTCGCTCTCTCTCTTTCTCTCTCTTTATCAAATAAGTTGCTACAGTTCTACACACGCCACGACATCGTCTGGGTATATATGCTGCCTTTGTGCGTTACACGAGTGCACTGCTCCCCCTTCTACTACGCGGGGTTGCCAATTCGTCTGCATTTCTCACGTTACTAGTTGCTCTGCGCATCGCTGTTACTTGCTTGGTGAGTTAGATTGGTATCTACGTCCCGTACGGACGGCCCGAGACGTGACTTTCTCCGTGTGCCTGTCTGCGGAGTGGCTCTTTATTAAAGGCCTTAGATACTGATAATTGCACATGTCAGCCACCTGATGTGGATTTGTCGAGGGACACGCACACCGCCAGCATCCCTCAGTCGGGGGAAACAGAATCTGTTTGCGAATGTGCGACGGCTGTGTTTTCTTAGCTCTGACCAATACAGCCCCGCGCTGTGGCGGTGCGTATTTGAGGAGGCAGTTCGCAGCCTCGGCGCGTGTGTGTCGACCGCTTTTAGACGTCGTTATCCGGCACCTAGAACAAGCTGTAGACAAATTGCCGACTGCTATCGGCTACTTAGTTCAGCGTTAGTTTATAAACCGTTCGCTGCTGCGACCGAAACTGACAGGGGGCTGGGCGGGAGAGGGATGGTGTAGACACGTCCGCTGCAGTTGTGTGCTCTGTTGTGAGGTATATGTCAATTTATGGGGTGTACACTGTCTATCAGTACAACCATGATCGCTTATGAGGTAATCCTACTCGATTGTATTTTGGAAGGTTGCACTCTAGGATTATTATCGTGACTCATTATTTCATTCGTACGTAAATATGTACAATGTACATTTGTGATCGTTGTACTCTTACAATCGTCACTATATACACTACAAATGTCAATATAATATAGCTACATAACAGGTCCTGGTTGGTGACATGTCCACAGAGATTTATTATCTATAACCAATGTGTACATGTGAGTAACTGGGTAAATAAATCAATTAAACAAATCTAATATATTCAATCACAAGGATATATTGCCCGTAACGTAGACAAACATAACACGCGCTATATATATATATATAATTAAGCCTGCTACATATTTAATGGCATTATTGATTAGGGATTCGATATTCCTTCAATATACGTAGAGATATTACTCCGTAATCAATAACTTCGTTTCTGTTAGGGGTTCCTGTCCGCCTTTCAATTATTGATTATTGACGACACGTAACGTTTGCACTATCGTTGTTATATTCCACAATCTACGCACGGACTATATTCGCGTTCTACCATGGCATGACAGTTTTACCATGCTACGTTATTCATACACTGCAGACTAAACAGAAATGAGAACAAATGTCGGAGGATAGTATGAACGTCATTGTCAAAATGTACATGTAGTTACTAGACCGGTGCATAAACATTTTAGGAATATTCTCCATTCCCATAACAACTAGGCGTTTCAA